TTCACCATCACAGGTTAACATGTCAATATCCTGTTCATTTTTATTTTGTGCTTCACTCAGTGCATTTTTCTCACAGCTGTCAATTTCCATTAAATCAGCCTCATCATAATCATCCTCATTCATGTTTTCATCATCTTCATCCTCCTCATCTTCATCAGGAAGTGTTGGATCACACAGCTCAGCATCATCTCTGATGCTCACATCCTTATACTGTGGATGAATCTGCTTGAGTTTATGCAGTGCTTGCACAAGTTTTGACCAGCTTACAGTCTGAAACAGCTGATGACCTTTGTAAGACAAGCGTCTCTTCAGTTTTACTCTCATCACTTGACTGTCATTTCTCAATCGAGGTAGTGCTTCAACAGTTTCCTGTACCTCTGGTGGGACACAGACCACATTTCCTCTAATTGCTCTCTGTCTGCCTTTGGGAAGAGGAATAATCTTGGCAAATGGTATGCACTTGGCTATGAGATGTCTCTCCAGTATGTTGAGATCAGAAAGTTCTGGTGGAATATCAGCAAGATCCAGATTATTGGCAACAGCAAGTGCTGGCATTGATCCATTTTTAAGATGATTGTGGCAGGTGTGACAAATCCACTCTCTCTTTCTCTCATCAGGAACATTGCACACATTTTCATCACAAACACGAACAAACCTTCCTGTCAAACATGTTGCAACCACCTGTGGGTTTTTCACATAATGTGACCTTGTGCAGGGTCGTACTTGGTTTGGAAATGCAGCCTTAAAACAGACAGTACATGGGTATGATGGGCCAGCTTTGATTTGTGATTTGAACACAGATATGGCCTCTTTGATCAAACTGTTGTCACTCTCTTGGGTTTGTCTGTTCACCCATATGTATTTCTTTTTTATTTTCATGGTACATCTCATGTTGTGCATAATCCTGAATTCAAGATTATTTTGATACATGTCTCGCATTAGTAGTTTCATCAGTTGTCTGTGTCGCACTCTGAATACATTGTCACATGCATAACACTGAGTCACTCGAGATCTCTGTCTCTCTGTGAATTCTGGGCTTTCTTGATACCTTTTAGTGATATAGTTTTTTTGTTTTTGTCTAAATTTAGCATCGGCACAATAGCGTCTTTTAATATATTGTTGTTGTTTCTGTCAAACTTTAGCGTTCTCAGAAAAACGTCTTTTAACATATTGTTGTTGTTTCTGTCTGAATTCATCATTCTCAAAGTAACGTCTTTTCATATACTGTTGATGTTTCCGTCGAACTTCAGGATTGTTTTTGAATGCCTTGCTTGTGTAATACTTTTTCTTTTCTTTATAATCTTTGATTGAAGCATACTTTTGTCATTCTTTCCTTTTTTGGTTTTCTTTTCTCTGGTTTCTGGGTTTCTCTGATGCCATTAATCTTCTTTTCCTTTTTTGCCTTTGTTCTTTATTCACTTTTGTCAGTTTACAGATTTTTTTGTAAAAGTGTATCAGAAAGATCACAGGCAGCAAAATCTTTTATTGCAGCATTTGATTGACACGAAAAAGCATCATTTGATGGAAGGAAATTAAAATCACAGGATGGTTCTTCAGTTGGTATATTAGTAAATTCATTCTGAGGAGCTTTATGTGACATGAACTGAGTCATGTGGACTTCTTGTTGTTTCACCAGTGAAGGAGTTCCATGTTTCCATGTTGGGCCTTTATCAAGTTAAAAGTCTAATGAGTAGTTTTTAAAGGCAAATTTGTCCATCACTTTCTGCTCCCTGCTGCAGACCACGCCCCGCCACACACATTAACCAGGTAAAATACATATTTAGGCAGAATTTTGCAGATATCTATTTTTCATTTTTCAGCAGCATAGTGGTTTTTTCTTTTAGTTTTTAAAAGTCAGGTCAAGACTCCAAAAGCCCAAAGGCTACATAAGGGTGGCAGCTCACAGCAGTTTGTGTTTGCTACATGGATCATTTTAGTTCAGCTTTCCTTTTGTTATATTTCTTTAAGAGTTC